ACTGTATTAGATGGTGCACGTACTCCCATCATCACAGAAAATTCTAGTGGACAGTGCTGCTCTCGAGGAGTAAAGGAACCAGGCTGACAACTCTTCTGTGTTGATAAGCTCACTTAGGGAAGAGCTTGCAAGCTGGCCTGGAGACGTAGCTTGTTTAGCCCACACTAGGCTTGAAACATTTTTTTGGAACAGAAGCCAATACATAAACTCAGGGGACCTCTCTTTCTCGCTCTCCCTCTCTCCCTGCTTGTTCTCACTCTCTCTGTCTCAAGCAGGGAGCCCAACGTGGGGCTTGATCCCATTGACCCCGAGATCATGACCTGAGCCGAAACCAAGAGTCAGATGCTCAACCAATTTCCAGTTGAGCCACCCGGGCACCCCAACATGAGTTTGAATTGCATGGATCCACATATAAGCAGATTTTTAAATAAATACAGCACAGTGCTGTAAATGTATTTTCCTTATGATTTTCTTAATACTTTCTTTTGTGTAGCTCACTTTATTGTAAGAATACAGTATACAATACATATAATATATAAAATATGTGGTAATTGTTTATATTACCAATAAGGCTTCCAATCAACAATAGCTATTACTAGTTAAGTTTGGGGGGAGCCAAAAGTTATACACCGGTTTTTGACTGCATGGGGGTCAGCACCCTGAACCCCCATGCTGTCCCTGGGTCAGCGGTATATATATGATGTGATACTGGATGTATCATTCTCCCGCCTGCTTTTTTTCCCACACCATAGAATGTCTTGGAAATATTTCCATGGGCTAACATAAAAATCTACCTCATTCTTCTGACCCGCCGGGTAGGATTCCACTGAATGGACATACCACATTTTATTTAGCGATGATCCAGGTGAGGGAACTTTAGGTATTTTCCTGTTTCTCACTGGGATGATGGACATTCTTGCACAAGGCGATGTGCGGGTGTTTCTCTGGATCAGAAAGTGTAAATTCCTCATGGCTGGGATTGCATCAGGGCCCAGGTCTCTCACCCAGGTCGAGGCATGGGAACCCTTCCTCTGTCTTTACAAGCAGGTCCTGCTTGAACCCCCCCAGGACGATCACACTCGGCCCTGAAGAGGCCAGAAGCACCCTAGGCTGTGAAAAGCCAGCATCCCACCTTCGAGGCCCGCCCCCCATGCAGGAAAATTGCGGGGCATAGGATCTTCCTGCCCCAAAGCTCCCTTCCTCGGCGTTGTCCCACTCCCCTCTTTGCCAGCCCAGGCTTAGCAGGTAACTGGATCCAGGTCAGCTGGTAGAGTATGAGGTAGCGTCTAGCTGAGCGTCATGGTATTTTATTAAGTCCGAAATGTGATCGCTACTGTTGTCACCCTTTAGCGCCCCCAACAATCCCCTTGCAAATGAGAAAACCAGAGCCTCCCACATGCCTTTCCCCTGACATCAAGGAAAGCACAGGGAACCCTGCCCAGGGGCCTGAGCCCGTGTGACCCCTGGAGCAGCTTTCGAGCTTGAGGCAAGGACTGGGGGGCACAGGGAGGCGTTTTTCCAATTTCAGGCAAAGCAATGGATGGGGGAGAAGTCTGCTACTAATTTTGTTTTCTCTGTGCCTGGGTCTTCAAAGTCAGCACTGGCTTTTAAAGACCGTTTTCATGAACATATCAGGCTTGCTGGTCGAGGACCCTTCCATCTATATAAGATTTCTGTGGCTCAGAGGGCTCCAACTAGTGTGCCCACTGGGGCCACGTAAGCAGGTAAGTGAAGGGAAGAAAACCCAGATGAGACTGTAGAGCCCTGGAAAGGGCTAAGGATGGTTGGGATGGAAGAATGCAAGCCCCACAGAGCGTGTAAAGTCTCAGAGTAGTGAAAATCTGGAAAGACAGAGAGAGTGAGAACAAGCAGGGAGAGAGGGAGAGCGAGAAAGAGAGGTCCCCTGAGTTTATGTATTGGCTTCTGTTCCAAAAAAATGTTTCAAGCCTAGTGTGGGCTAAACAAGCTACGTCTCCAGGCCAGCTTGCAAGGTCTTCCCTAAGTGAGCTTATCAACACAGAAGAGTTGTCAGCCTGGTTCCTTTACTCCTCGAGAGCAGCACTGTCCACTAGAATTTTCTGTGATGATGGGAGTACGTGCACCATCTAATACAGTAGCCACTGGCTACATGTGGCTACAGAGCACTTGAAATAGGCCTAAGGAACTAAATTTTTTATGCTGTTGAATTTAAATTTATTTAAATATAACTTATCAGTAACCACATGGGCTAATCACTACTGTATTAGACAGCATGACTATAGAATCTTTCAAGTTAGGGTGTACCATCGTGCTCGACTATTTTAGGAAAGAACAGTCCCTCTTGGGGAGGGGCATCAAGTATACTTGAGACCACCAAGCATCGATGAGAAGCCCGGGTACATGGAAAGAAAGGAAATGCGGAATGAGGAACAGTAGAGGCTTAGGGGTAAGCTAGCTCGAGTGGTCACTCAGTAGCCCCAGTTTTTTCCCAATGCTCTCCAGAGAGCGTCTCAGTTGGGTTCACCGCTTAACATCCGCCATGTTCTTTGCCCTCTGCTCCGACTTCCACCTGCCCACGTGGTGGAACTTCCCCCCTGCCCTTTCCATCCAGGCCTGTCCGAGCACACTGCTGCCCATGCCCAGGCATTGTCCCGGGCCCATGGATGTGAGAGGTCTCACTGTGCCACAGAGCTGGGGGCCAGAGTGTGCCAGGGACTCTGGAAGGAAACCTCACCTTCCGGCAAACCCCTTTTGAATCTGGAGCCCTTTCATGGGACCAGAGAGAGACCAGTGGCCACACCACCCCTTTCTCCAAGGTTCCAGCCTCAATCCCCACAGAGTGGCCCAGGCTGCCCCAAATGCCACTGTCCCCACCCCCACCCCACCCCCACATCTCCATAACAACATGGTTACCCCTATAGGTCTTTTAAAAATTAATGAGGGACGGGGTTCCCATCATCCCCACCCCCCGCAGAGCTCCTGGTCTCAAAGATAAATTCAAGCCTTTTCCTTATGTAAAAAGAGATGGTGCTCAAAATGTTGAAAGCACCTTTTTTTTTTCCAGATTGTACCCTCCTATCAACAGTCCAGAGATGTCACCGCCAATTTTTTTCTTAGCGTCAAGCTCAGAGTTCCGTATCCTTCTCCTCTCCCTAGCAGTGTTTCCCAGGAGATACCTGCCCCCTGAAATTACCTTGCAACCAAAATGGGGACATTTATAAATCTTCATACAATAATAGAAACTAACATTCATGCCACACCTGCTCCGTTCCAGCCCCTGCACCGGATGCTCTGCGCCCAGCACCTCCCTTCTCCTCACGCCAAGCCTGTGAAGGAGGTTCCGCTGTCTCTCATTTCCCAGCCCGACCTCTGAGGCTCAGGGTGGTTATGCCACCAGCTCGAGGTCACACAGCCGGAGCCGACTCTGAAGCACACGACTGTGTTCTCTTACCGTTCTGGAGGTCAGAAGTCCAGAACCAGTCTCCCTGGGCTGAAGACGTTGGCGAGGCTGGTTTCCTCTGGAGGCTCTGAGGGGAGGAGTCTTGGCCTTTTTTGGTGTCTAAGGGGCACCTGTATTTCTGGACTTGTGGCTTCTTCCTCCATCTACCGTGTACCCCAATGCCACCCCAGTCCCCTTCTCCTTTCTGTCTTCAAATACCCCTCTGCTTCTTACTTACAGGACCCCTTGTAATTACATTTAGGGCCCACCTAGATAATCCAGAATAATCTTCCCATCTCAAGACCTTTAACTGAATCACATCTTGCAAAGTCCCTTTTGCCATATAAGGACCCTGGGATTAGGGCATGGACATTTGAGGGTGGGGGGCATTATTCAGCTTACCACAGTCATGGTGGCCTGGTTTCTGGTTACAGCTGGGGCTGGATCCAGGGGATCAAATACTGTGATCAGGGCTTCATCCCTGTCTCCAGCTCTCAGATCTGCTTTTCTCCAGGCTTAATCCCACCGTGTGGCAGCTACAGTGAAGGAGAGGCCCCTTCCCCAAGGTCTCAGCCCAAGTCCCAGGGCCGGCTCTCACTGGTCCTGTTTAGACTACATGCTCATCTTTGGCACAGTCACCAAGGCCGGGTCTCTCCGCTTGGTCAAGCCTGGGTCATGTGCCCTCCTTCGTCATGCCCTCCCCTCTATCTTAGCTCACACGTGCTAGGGTGTTTCTCCAAAGAGAACGGAGAGATCTGTGAGTGGTGGAAAGCAGCATGGCTCTGGAGTCTGTTGGCTGGCAAGCATTATACATTATGCATTATACAGTATAATCAGTCCCCAATCAATGCTGACCGCAGATCATGGGACACAGAGGAGGGCTGGGGGCAGGGGTACCTCCAGAATGAATGTTGACGAATACAAGGTTCACTAAGCGGATGAAGGCAGAAGAGCCTTCCGAGCAGAGAATGTACCTTGATTAAGGCAAAGGCCTCGACTGTGGGGCCAGGGTGACCGTATGTCCTCACATACTCAGGGGCGGAGCGGGGTGGTCCTGTTTTGCGCCTGTCCTCCCAATGTAATCTTAACAGCAGCCCCCTTTACTTGCAAAACAATCTGGGTTTGCATGATAAATTATATGGTCTCTCCCCCTGAACAGCCAACCTCATTTATAAGGGTACCGAAGGCAAAAGAAGGGATGACACTTAATGGGAGGTCACTAACCTTTAGTGGCAAAGCTCACACTAGAATTCAGGACTCCTGACTCCCAGGGCAGTGCTCAGCTTATGAAACCAACTCTCTCAGAGACTACATCAGATTAATCAGTCATGGGACGCCTTGGTGGCTCAGTCAGTTAAGCGGCGGCCTTCAGCTCAGGTCCTGATCCCAGGGTCCTGGGATCGAGTCCCATGTCGTGCTCCCTGCTCAGCGGGAAACCTGCTTCTCCCTCTGCCTGCCGCTCCCCCTGCTTGTGCTGTCTTTTTCTCTGACAAATAAATAAATAAAATCTTTAGGAAAAAAAAAAAAAGATTAACCAGTCATCCTTCTCCTTCTTTTCCTCTTCTTACCACATTCTCCATAGGATTGTGACCAGATCCACGTTGACGATGTCTCATCCGATGACAATGGGCAGGACCTAAGGTAGGAGTTTGGGGAGCCAAAACTGCCCCTTTTGATTGGTTATTGAGCTTGCCTTTCACCAGAAGCAGAGAGGAGGGGCGGGCTGGGTTATCAAGATGAGTGCACCTGCCTGGGTCAGAACCCAGGGTTGCAGCCCCGACCCCCACCTGCAGCCTCCTCAGCATCACCTCCAATCACAGAGGCTGAGATTTCCACAGACTCTCTGTGACTCTGCTTATGTTTATCTCTCAATGGTTTCTTGTCTGCTTCCCAAAGTAATGCATGCATATTGTAAAAAATTCAAATGCCACTTCTAACCTTGCCTCCCAGAATCACCATCACGAAGAGTTTGGCACCCCTTCTTCAAAGGTTTGAGTGCTTCATTAGCATACGTATATTATTTAATATAAACGTTGATACAGTCGCTACTCAAAAAATATTTCTTGACTGAGTAAGCGGTATGTCTAGTTTCTAGGGGACAACACTCCTAGGACATGGATTCCAGAAATAAGGTACCCAACTGCTCAAAACGAGACAGCTTTCAGAGGAATGTGGCTGGAGTGTTCCAAGCCTGCCCCTGAGAAAACCTTATAAAAATGGAACCAGAGTTAATCTGTGCTTATCCAAAATTATCCCAGCCTAGTACCTCTTGGCCCATCAAAAATATTATTAGACTGCATGATGTTTCGCTTATGGGACCAGTAACTTCACTTAGTCTTTGCTTCCTAGGTGTGTCTTCCATCTTACTCCAAAAAAAGAAGTCAAAGCTTCTGTTGCTGGGCCCTGGAAGTCTTTTCAAAGGCCAGCACAACCAGAAGTGATAGGCAGGCGCCTGCTTCGTATTAATTAGCCATTCTGAAAATCCCTCACAGTCAGGACTGGCAAGGAGCAAGGCTCCAGTGCCAGCCAGGGCTTCTCCATTTATGGAGTAAATAAGCCCCAGATCAAAGTTAATTGTGTCCTTTCCACAACGTCATAGCTGGGAGCTGCTCTCCCCCTCACGGCAGTGAGCAACCAGGGCTCCGCTTTTATAACGTTTCCCCTGTAGCTGGCTGGCGTGGGACTGAGAGCGGGTTCCTCTGAAGGCCGTCTCATGCTGAGCTGTTTGGGACGTCACTTCCAGAACCCACGATCCAAGGATGGTTTTCCCCATAGACACCAAAATCTCCATGTATTCATTCAAGCAATCTCTTTTGAGTCCTTACTGTGTGCCAGGCGCCTAGCATCAAATGCCCCTTCTTTGGTTTTTTTCAGTTCACTGCAGAAACCAACCTTGGTAATGCCCTTTTTTTGCACCACGCCCTGTCCCGGACGCCTTACGTGCATTAACTCCCTCATCTTCACAGTTACCCTAGGGAACAACACGTGCTCTTCTCATCATCCCCATTTTACAGGTGGGGAATGGGAGGCACAGAGAGGTTAAGTAACCTGCCGAACCTCACACAGCCAGTAGGTGGGAGAGGTAGGATTCATGGACGTCCTTCCCTGCCCTCCTGTTCTCTTGGCAGAACATCTGGCCACCTCCCCCAGGGTGTCCTCGGAGTTTTTAGTATGTGTTCTTTTTCAAGAATCAATTTTCTGGCCTTTCCACACTACTCTGAGAGGGGCCCATAAGGCGTAGTCCTGGGTTCCCGTTGCAACTTAAAGGAAACTTCCACCATGTCCGGATCCCTTGATGTCCTGCCATTGAAGCAGGAGGATGTCCTCAAATGCCTTGCAGCAGGAACTCACGTAGGTGGCACCAGCCCACACAGAGGGAACAGGATGGGCGCAAACATCATGAATCTGAAGAGGACGTGGGAGAAGCTCTGCTGGCAGCTCGTCACGCGGCTGCCCCTGAAGACCCGGCTGACGCCTGTGTCCTAGCCTCTTGCAGTCCTGGCCGGCGAGCTGTGCTGCTGCTGCCCGGGGGCCAGGCTGGTGGCCGCCCCGCTCCTGGAACCTTCACCAACCAGATCCGCGCAGCCTTCCGGGAGCCACGACCTCCGCTAGCTGCTGCCCCCAGGGCTGACCGCTGGCCACCAGAGGTGCCACCCAGCCTCCCATGGCTGTGTCACAGACTCTCCCCCGTGCCACGTGGACCCTGCCACCCCATCCAGCAGCAAGGGGACTCACGTGGCGGGTCCGATGTGGCGGGTCCCGGCCCTGGAGGTCCTGCACGCCTGTGGCACCATCCCCTGTGAGCACCCACGGGAGGCCACGCCGAATCTTGGCTTCTGCAGAGACTTCTGAAGAGACTGAGAAGGAAGAGCAGGCCGCTGCTGGAAAGGCCTTGACCAAGGAGGAATTTCGGGGTGAATGGGCTGTTCTGGCTCCCGAGCTCACTGCTGCTCAACACGAGGCTGCAGACGAGTCAGGAGGCCCACGGAAGTCTACGTTCGAGGCCCTGAGGATCAAGTCGCCTGGGCCAGTGTCCTGGCCTGCGTGCCCCAGGGAGCCCCCAAGGGGCAATTAGCTGTTGAGTTGGAGACACTCGCCGCAGGTGTTCCTGTGGCTCCTGCAGAGTTTTTGTTGCCACCACCAAAGCCTCTTCCCTGGGAAGAGTTTTCGGTCCAAGAGGAAGGCCCGGCCTCTGCTCCAGTAAGGCTGAGCCCCAGGCACAGAATGGAGGGTGACAGCCGCATGTCCCATCACGCGGTGTTCTGGTGCCCCACAGGGAGCGTGACCTAGCACCTCGCACTTTCCAAATGCCCTTTGACCTCTGCAGCAGCAGGGGCCCTGAAGTACGGGGAGGTACGTGAGGTACGGCTTCCAAGTGTTGTTTCATTCTCGCTGCACCGCATCTTTGTAAAAAATAAAATGTCTTTCTGTTTCCACTCTTCAGCTTATCCTAGAACATCTAGAAAGCGCAAAATAGTGCAAAGAGGGAAAAAATTAGCCAAATTCACACCCTGAGACAGCCATAGAACCATATTGACCTGTTTCCTTCTGCTCTTTCCTAGGAAGAGACTCATGGGGGGCGGGGGCGGCACAGAGGGAGAGAGAGAATCTCAAACAGGCTGCACGCCCAGTACGGAGCCCCACGCGGGGCTCGATCTCACGACCCTGAGATCACGACCTGAGCCAAAATCAAGATCTGATGCTGAACCGACTGAACCACCCAGGTGCCCCTAGGAAGAGACTCATTTTTAAAGCTTTGGGTCATACTATACACATATCCCTTGTCACGCTCTGGTTTTCCCCTTCCGACGTTGATTTTGCAAACCTCTAGGAAAGCTTCTGGCGGAGGGAAGGAAGATTGGAGCGGGGGGGGGTCTCTGGCGCGTTGGGGTTTTCATTCTTACGTGCCGGTTGCTGTAGGCGGTGAGTCGCCCACACTCTCCCGTTCCAGTTCCCAGCTGCCACATCTGTCGTCAGCTTTGTGGGACACTCTGACTTGTCCCCAGTCCACACAGAGCACTTCTTAGGCCGACATGCTTCATTCGGAGTGGAGCATTGTATCTGCAAAGCCCCAGCGATCAACTCTGCCTAATTTAACAAATCACAAAAATTATGGTTATTTCTGTGGAAAGATACGGAGATGTCACAGAATGGGAAGAAAGGGTTGGCAGCCAGGCCTTACACGGAACACGGAGCAGTGCCGATTTGGGGATCGAAGTAGCAGGAACTAACACGTTTTCTTCCGGACTCTTCTGTCAGGATGAACCAGCTGCAACCGTTTTCTGGAATTGCTTTCTGGTTTCGAATTCTAAAGGGGGGGGGGGCGCGGGGCTTTTCCTAGCTTGGCCACCGCACCAGGGGCTTCCTGGCTCTGTGGGGCCTGCGGTCTCCTGGCAAAGAGCCCCCCCCGCCGCCGCCCACCGACAGTATCTTTCCCCCCTCCCCCCCAGCACGTACAACTTCTCCACCGACGGCTTCCACAGCTCGGCCCCGGGAGCCAACCTGTGCCTGGGCTCCGGCGTCCACGGCGGCGTGGACTGGATGAGGAAGCTGGCCTTCCGCTACCGGCGGGTGAAGGAGATGTACAACACCTACAAGAACAACGTCGGTGGTGAGTGGCCGGTGGCCCCCGGCGGGGGGGGAGGTAAGGGCTGGCTGCCCTGCTCAGGCCGCACCACAGGCCGAGGCAGGGTCAAGGGCGGCCACGGCCCCTTGCGTGCGCAGACACCAGCTTGCTCAGTGCGCGCCTCGGGGCACGCTCTGGAAGGGGACACGAGCATTTCTGTGTCCTCACTTGGGGCGGGTGTGGGACGGGAGACTGAGGAATAGACAACAGCCTGCCTGGGATCCCACAGCCCATGAGCGGTGGGGAGGGCTTAGGGGCCACCCACCCCCCCCCCGGCTGCATCAGGTGTGGCCTGAGGAGGCTGGAGTGGCCTCGCCACCTGCGTTCCAACACGCCCTTCGGGCATCTCGGTCACTTGCTGGAGTTGGGGGACCGGTGGCTTCGGCCCCTGCTGCTCAGACGGTGGGCCGCAGACCAGCTGCGTAAGCATCACCTTTGTTGCCAGACTCTGGGGGCCCCCTCCAGGCTACTGGGTCAGAATCTGCGTTTTTAACAAGATTCCCGGTGATCTGTGGAAACACTGAAGTTGGAGAAGGCCTGGAAGCCGCTGGTTCTCATCCTGGAACCACCTGGGGCATTTCCAGCTCTGATGTTCTCGGCCTGGCTGCAGCTGGGGTCAAGATCACAGGGTTCAGGCCCTGATGTGCGGTCAAGGTGAAGGCCGCTGGCTTCGGCAGCAAGAGAGCACTGGTCGTGGCCCTGGATGAGAAGTCTGGAAGGGCCTATGGGCAAGGCTGGCTCTGCAGTGCCAGGCCCTAGATTGCTTTTCTGGAATTCTCTGGGCCAGAGGTTCTTAACGGGAGGTGATGCTGCTTCTCCCCCAGGAGGCATTTGGGGGTGTGTGGAACCAACTACAGGCCCATAAGGGGAAAAGGTCTGAGTAGGCAGCTGGTAGCGTCTGCCATATGCCCCTTGGCCCCCTGGCCCCCAAAGCTTCCAGGGCTCCCTCCCCCTGCCCCAGAAAGAGTGGAGTTCCAGGAAGAATCTAGGGTCTCAGACTGGACAGAACCTACTTCCAGTCCCAATGCCTCCACTTTCTGGCTACCTCCCTGAGCCTCAGCGTCTAAATCTGTGAAATGGGGATAAAAACAATTCTGTCTCCCTGGGTTATGGAAAGGTTTGTTGTTAATGGGCACAGAAGTCATGGCTCTGTGCCTGAGGCAGGGGCTCAGCAAATGGTCGCATTCGTCACTAGCTCCTTTCAGTTTTGCTTGGGAGTCTTTCAGGTTCTTGTGTCTCCAGTCTGCAGCTGCGACCCTACGCAGTCCTGGCCGTAGCTAGTGTTTACTGAGCGCTCACTGTAGGCCGGGCTCTGTTAGGAGGGCTTTTCACCTACTGTTTTATTTGCCCTTTGCCACAGCCCTATGAGGTGCTTTTCCCATCTGTGTGCTATAAAGGTGGAAACTGAGATCAGAGACGTTAAGTAACCTGGCCAGCATCACACAGCCCAGGTGGCGAACCACCACGGTGGAGCCCGAGGCCGGCGGCTTCGCCACCTCTGCCCGCACTCGGTAGCCTCTCACACCCAAGTCTGTGGACATGGAGCAAGGAGGGGAGCAGGTGTGCTTGGAGTAGAGGAGACAGGGATGGAGGCGGCCGACAGGGGCCACCTGCTCCTCATCCAGGTTAAGCCCCAGGAAGCGCCCGGGGCTCCTGTCAGGCTGCTCTGCTCTCCCCTGAGCTGAGGGGAGATTGCGCAGTGTGTCAACAGGCGAGGGGAGCCTGCAGGTGGCAGGACTCCGCGGGCGGCTCACCTCCCCCACCCCTCTCCCCCAGCTCTTTCTGCATCACAGAACTGGCGTGGTGAGGGCCCCAGCCTCTAACCCCAGGGGTCACCAACACCCCGGGATCCCGAGGGTTTGGGAAGTTGTGCTCAGAAGAGAGACATCCACAAGATACAGGGTGAAAATAGAAAAGGCTTAACAAGTCAACATCGGGAGGCAGGACTGGGTTCAGAGGCCTTCGCCTGATTTCACACCTCCCTCTACCACGTCCTGTTATAACCCTTGAGCAGGTTACTTAACCCCTTCGTGCCTCAGTTTCTTCAGGTGTCAGATGGGAATGATGCTGCCCAACTCATAGGACAAATGTCAGGATAATGTGAATTAACACATGGGAGTTGCTTAGAACTGTGCCTCCGCGCAGTGAGCACTTCTTGAATGTTGCTCTTGTCTGGGGAAGGAGGCCGAGCCTGGGGAAAAGCTGCGGGTAGGGGGCAAGCAGACAGACGCTTGAAGCATACTTCCTAGTGTAAAGTAGGAGGGGTTGACCAGCTGACTACCCGTGGCAGCACGCGTGGGAAGCCTCTTGTAAACTGTATGGTCCCGTGCCCCCGACAGTTTGTATTGTTATTAAGGGCTGTGGGGAAGGGGCAGAGAGAAGGCAGGCCAGAGACCACCTGCAGCGTTTTGTCCCAGTGAATTCCTTCTCCCTTGAACAAACACCGAATCGGCACGAGCCATGCGCCAGCCCCGGCTAGAGCACTGCCCAGGGGCTGGTTCCGCGGTGGTGAACAAAACCAGCTCGGTCCCTGCCCTCATGGAGCCGACGGTGTGGTGGCCGAAGCAGACATCGAACACATGATCACACAGATGTGTCTGAAATCATAGTTGTGACAAGTGTGCCAGGAGAAGAGGTACAGTGTGTTGGGAGAGTGTAAAATAGAGACCTGACCAGGGTAGGCCTTCCAGAAGAAATGACATTGGAAACTGAGTGTAAAGGACTTAGGCAAACAGGGAAGGTAAGATATGAAGAGTGGTCCAGGTTCTGAGATGAGGTAGGAACGTACTTGGTGTATCAGGGGACAAAGAGGAGGCCACTAGGGCGGGAACGGAAGGACAGCAGGGCAATGGCAAGAGATGAGATAAGCAACTAAGCAGGGGCAGGGGCTCTGGAGGCTGAACTTTATCTTAAGGGCCTTGATGGCTGAGAGACAGGTCTAGAGAGCCCGTGGAGTGGGCTCTGGAGGTCCGCTGCCTGGGTACACCTGTCTCCATACTTCTGCAGTGAGCAAGTCCGTTGACCTCACTAAGCCTCAGCTTCTCCACCTGATTTCCACAGTGTTATATGTCCATTATATCTCAATGGGAAAAAATAAAAAGAGTGTCCACCTCTAGGGGCACTGTGAAAATGAATGAAATAAATCCTATTAAAAGCACAGGCCAAAAAAAAAAAAAAAAGCACAAGCCATACACACAGTAAGCACTCAATAAATGTTAACCGTTTTTATTTTATTCATTTTTTGTCTCCACTGTAACAGTATAAACTCTATAATCTGCATTTTTTGTTCATCTGTATATGCAGTGCCTATTCAATACTGAGCGCACAGAAGGCACTCCCGAATCCTTTGTTGGATGGATGGGCAGAGGGAGGGATGGACGGATGGCCGGGCGGATGGGTGGATCAATCAGTGGATAGGATTATTGATCAATCAATCCCAAAATAAGATTAAAATCACTGGATAAAGTTGACCTTGGGTATCATCTGATTTGAAATCTCAGGGTACCAGTAGCTAGATTCCCCTTCCCTAACCATCCCCCCCCAGACCTCTCAAATGATAAATACCACATCTTTATTTCCCTTGTCCATAGGCTTGATAGGAGCTCCCAAAAGAGAGACTTGGCTACAGCTCAGAGCTGAACTGGAAGCTCTGACCGACCTCTGGCTGACCCACTCTCTGAAGGCGCTCAACCTCATCAATTCCCGGTAGGTAGGAGCCCCTATTTGCCTTCCAGCCCCTGAACTTCCTCCCATTTGAGGGTGGCGGCTCCTCCATTTCCATACTTGAAGAATTGGACTCTCCAAATTCTCCCTTGCACACTTTCCAGACATTTGATAAAGCTGAGGAGTCACACGGTACCATGGAAACCTTGTACCACCGCTGAGCAAGCAGGTGCTAAAACTTCTCAGGGTCCAGCAGAGCTTTGTACGTAGGTTGGTCTGTCCCATCCGCTGTTGCCCACCACTCCCGCTGGTCACAACAAAGCCCTCTGAAAATCCTTTTCTAGTGGGCTGCAGATCATCTGGCAGGCAATTACAAGGTAAGGAGTTTCATTTCAGGCCTCCCAATAAATTGCCTCTTGCTCTTTAACAAGATCATCTGAGCCAGAGAACAAATAACCCCCTGCACTAGCATCCAAAAATCTTGTGACCCAGCATATGAATGGTTACAAGATGGCAGGCCATGAGCTGGCTCTGTCCTGCGGATGTGTCCTGTTTGATAAACACTGTGTCCCAAAGACTGGGAAAGTAATCCATAGCTCCAGATTTCTAGGTTCTGTCAAAATATCAGAACCGGCAGGTGTTCTCTAGTTTACCCCAGTCCTCACCGCTCCCTGTTGCCCTACACCTGATCCATATTACTCATTTACATCCCTGATAGGTGGCTACAGCTATGTAAGTGTGGGCCCTTGCAAGAAACATTTGTTTTAAATAAGTATTAACACTTTAACACTGTAAGTAATATTACAGGATTGCGTTTCAATGTGCCAGGCAGCCTCAGGCTTAAAAGAGAGGAACAGCTGAAGGATCTTTGGGCCTCCCGTCACCTGAAGATGACTTAGCCAGAGCTCCAAACCCCACCAGAGCTCCTGCTGACTCCAGGCTCATGCTGCAGGGTGAGGAGGCCTGGCCTTGGTGTTCTGACCTACAGTCTTCTCTGTCCTCAGGCCCAACTGTGTCAACGTGCTGGTCACTACCACTCAGCTAATCCCTGCCTTAGCCAAAGTCCTGCTGTATGGACTGGGCTCCGTGTTTCCTATTGAGAACATCTACAGTGCAACCAAGACAGGTAGGGAGAACCAGACCTCGCGGTGATGCAGGGAGGGAGGGAGGGTGAGGCTAGCTCTCCATCCCGCATTTGGGAAGCTTAAGGAAAAGAGCACTAAGAAAGCTAAAGAATTTGTCCATGGCCATGACTCAGATGCCCAGAACAATCCCACAAACCACTCGTTTTAACCTCAGCTTCCAGAGAAAGTGGTTAGGACCATCGTTTTCTAAAGTTAGGTTATCTGCAAAGTTGCTGTAACACACACCCCAAATACAGGACTTACATCAGAATCCAAGCTTATTTCTCTCTCACATGTCAACAGACTAGAGGTGAGTCATCCAGGCTAGTGGGGCAACTCTGTCCTCAAACTCACCCAGGATCCCAGGTCCTTCCCATCTTATTTTTCCACCATCCCCTGTGGTTTTATTCTCATGTATGGTTAAATCAGAATCCTGCCACATTATCGTTCCGGCTTATGGGAAGAGGGAAAAGAGCAAGTAATACATGTCAAATGTTTTAAGACCAGGACTCAAATGGGATACCTGGTGCTTCTACTCACCTCCTATGGGCCCCCGCTTAGTCACATGGCCACGACTAGTGGCAAGGGAGGCTGGGAAACGTAGTCCATAACTAAGTGCCGTGAACACAGGTAAGTCATGGAACTCTATTACTAAGAAGAGGAAAATAGGGGCACCTGGATGGCTCAGTCAATTAAGCATCTGCCTTCGGCTCAGGTCGTGATCTCAGGGTCCTGGGATCGAGCCCCACATTGGGCGCCCTGCTCAGTGGGGAGTCTGCTTCTCCCTCTCCCTCCTGCTCATGCTTTGTCTCTGTGTCTCTCAGTCTCTATCAAATGAATAAATAAAATCTTAAAAAAAGGAAAATAGTTTCCACCACAGCATGGCACATGAGGTGATTTTAATTTAGGTGGTACAAGTTGTCAAATAACCTTGAATCCAACCTTGAACCACACAGAAAATTTGGGTGTTTTTTTTTTTTAATTCTCTTTTAAGGAGAGAGTCTCAATTTAGTGTTATCCTACTTTGACACCTCTCTTAATGCTTGATAATCTTTATTAACAAAGAGAACAAGCCTTAGGCTCAGAGCTTCCATCAGGTAAGAGAATTTAATAACTAGAAATGAACAGCATCATTTATCATCAGGGCAAGTCCTACTGGTTTTCGGAGGGGAGGGGCTGGAGTTTTTTATTCTCATATCACCTAAAACTATATAATAATGCAAAATAAACCTAGTTAAGATGGGGTTTTTTTGTTTTTTTTTTTAAGATTTTATTTATTTAACAGAGAGAGACACAGCGAGAGAAGGAACATACGCAGGGGGAGTAGGAGAGGGAGAAGCAGTCTTCCTCGCAGAGCAGGGACCCTGATGCGGGGCTCGATCCCAGGACCCTGGGATCATGACCCGAGCCGAAGGCAGATGCTTAACGACTGAGCCACCCAGGCGCCCCTAAGATGTTTTTAATTAGAAATTTTTACTCTTGTTTTTTTTTTTCTGGAACTAAAAAAAAAAAACTGTAGTATTTTGGAAGCATTTTCCCAGAGTGGTTTTTGCCTTTACTTAAGTTCTAGCTCTGAACATTACAGAAAAGTGCCTTTAGATTTTTAGATTTTAAAATCATGAAATTCAGGCCTCAGATGGCCATGAGAGCTTCTACAACAGGACTTGGTGAGCCTATCATTGTCTTTCTGCACACTGTAGTCATGTGCCTTCGCAGGCTTCTTGAGAACCTTTCTTAAATACTTTTTAATTATGGTAAAATACACGTGACATGAACTTTACCATCCTCACCATTTTTCAGTGTACATTTCAGGGGTAACAGCCCCATTCCCACTGTTCTGCCACCATCCCCACCGTCCCTCCCCAGAGCTCTTTCCATCTTGTAGAACTGAAGGTGGGTCTGCATTAAACAGGAACTCCCTATTCCTGCCTGCCCCCAGCCCCTGGCAAACACCCTTCTACTTTCTGCCTCTAGGAATGTGACTGCTCTGGGGACCTCGGAGAAGTGGAATCATAGAATATTTGTCCTTTTGTGACTAGCTTATTTCATGTAACATAATGTCCTCAAGGGTCCTATCTGTGATGTAGCCTGTGTCTGAATCCCTTTCCTTTTTAAGGCTGAGTAATAGTCCATTTATGTCTGCGCTACATTTCGTTTATCCATTCATCTGTCCACGGACACTTGGATTGCTTCCCCCTCTTGGCTGTTGTAAAACAGTGCTGCTATGAACATGGGTGTACAAGTCTCTCTTCAAGACTCTGTTTTCAGTTCTTTGGGATATATACCCAGTGGTGGAACTGGTGGATCACAGGGTAATTCTATTCATTTTTTGAGGAACCGCCATACTGTTTTCCATAGTGGCCGCACCGTTGTGCGTTCCCACCAACAGGGCCCAAGGGTTCCAGTTTCTCCACATCCTCACCAACATCTGTTCTATTCTCTCCTTTTTTAATAACTATCCTAATGGGTGTGAGAGGACTGGTGTTCTTTTTTATTATTATTATTAACATATAATGTATTTGTTTCAGGGATACAGGTCTGTGATTCATCAGTCTTACACAACACCCAGTGCTCACCACAACACATAGACTCCCCAGTGTCCATCACCCAGCCACCCCATCCTCCCACCCCCCTCCACTCCAGCAACCCTCAATTTGTTTCCTGAGATTGAGTCTCTTATGGTTTGTCTCCCTCTCTGGTTTCGTCTTGTTTCATTTTTTCCTCTCTTCCCCTATGATCCTCTGCCTTGTTTCTCA